CCTTGCTCCAATATGTGCAGGAAAGCCGCAGACTTTACACAGTACTGCAGATATGGCCTTGTGACTGCCAAATAGAGGGGAGTTTTCTTTCCTTAACCTGCTTGGCTGTCCCCTTCAGTCGTTCCCAACACAGGAGATCTAGGCCCTATACTGCTTGGAAGTAAACATCAAGCTCTGGAAAAAGAAATTTTTATTTTTATTTTCAGTCTGCTGAGAACTTTTTCGCAACTTGCAGATGTCAACTTTGGATCCAAGGTTATTAGTGCCGTTCACCTGTTTCCACGAGGTGGTGCTAGAGAAGGATAGTTTCAAAGAGCTGTACGTTAGTAGGAGCTGTAGGTCCGTTAGCAGCTGTCTATCGTCCTTGGTGTTAGCCCATGTAATTTGCCAGAGACAATAGATAGCAGCTGGTAGAGAATCTGCTTCTCTGCAGCTATTCACATATACAAGGAACATGAGGATTTGCTTTTAAAGCACACAAATGTCGGAGAAATTTAGCCTGCCTATGACTTCCTTGGTTAGACAAATTTTGGACAGATAGAAACAAAACCGAGATGACATTTTTAAAATATGTTTATACACACCCTCTACTTCAGAATTCATGCCACATATATCTAAAAGCAGCAACACTCAAACAGAATACTCTAAATCAGTGGGAAACTACAAGATATATATATATTATTATTTTGTAATGTCAACATCATCACACCATCCTAGCAAAGAGAAAAAAGACCCTTGACTTGAGACTGAGTAAGTGCAGGGGTGAGAACTTAATACCAGGGAAGCGGCATAACCGAGCCTTTGTGTATTGATGTGCTGTGTTACTTAAGTTTCCCAATAGGAACTGCATGATTTGAATTACTTACAAGTTTTAGTACTGTTGCAATTACACTAATGCTAGATTGTAATTTTTTGTTTATACTGTAAAAGCATTTATTAGACTAACAATTTCTAATTCTAATTTCTAGTTCTTTCATCTGAAGGTGGTATGTAACAGTGTATATACTAGGAACATATTTCAGGGCTAGCAGGGCTGGCTGCCAATCTCTTGCTTTAACACAGAATGGTTGTTCTTAAACTCACACTTAAATGCAGTCATTCTTTTACCAGTTTTCAGTGTTTTTCACTGTAAGTGTTGATTTTTTTTTTTGTTTGGTTTTTTTTTTCTGTTTTTTTTTTTGTTGTTGTTGTTTTTGTTGTGGTTTTTTGTTTGGTTTTGTGTTTGTTGTTTTGTTTTTTTTTTTTACTGCAAATGATCATTCCCTCTCCATGATTGAAAGAATTCTGGTTTCCTAAAAAATTAGCGCATAGATTCTAAGACAATATAGTCCCCTCTATTAAATACATCATTTTGGTTAGGTTTTTTTCAGGTTAACTAGCATAAGGATCACATTGTTTATAGTTATTGATGTTATTCTCACAAAATTTATTCTAACAAGTCATAAAGTTCTAGAAGTTATATATGAAGGATACTTGCATTAAATTGCTCTGCAGCAAATAAAACTTGGTATTTTTTTCAAAGCACAGCTTTTGAAGAGGAGAAAAAAGAACAAAATATTTCTATTAATATTGTAATAATTGTCACATCTGCTAAGTGAAAGTTGAATATCAGTACTGTTTTGAAAATAAACTGCAAAATAGTAATTATGTTTCTAATTCAACTGTTAAATGCATTTGATAAATGGGTTTGCATTCTAAGTGTTACAGGCTATATTTTTCTAAAAGACTCACTGGTTTTCATTCTCTGTTTTTTAAATAAAATTTCTACATGCTTTCTTCCTCACAAAAGAAAAACTTACCTACCACTCCTGAGACATTGAGATTGGTGGGAATACAAAAATGTCAGTTTGAAGAGTTGGTATGAGCAAAACAAAAATCCAGGAAGAATTAGGATCCAGGACCTGATAACTTGTTTTTCTGTGTACATCTACAGTTACAAGCTGCCTGAATTTATTGTGTTTCCTGAGAAAAATTGTAAAATGACATTTCTATATTAGAACTCACATCTGAAAAATTACCAAATTACCACCGCCACTTTCCATAAGGGCTTTTGTCCCTTAAATGGTTAAAAAAAAATCTTATTTTTAAGGTAGATGGTAAAAGTACAAAATTCTGCAAAGAACCATAATTTCAGTTTTACGTATAAAACAGATTCAAAATTCACTGCTGTTAAGGATACTTTTTTGCTGACATCAGCAACGGTGATTTCACTAGTATGCTTTGTGTGTGCTTCATGGTGAATTGTCATCATTTCATCAACTTACCATCTAGAGAGCATGTGCTGCAATTTAGTAAGCTGGTCACATTGCCAATAATAAATCATAGAATCATAGAACGGTTAGGGTTGGAAAGGACCTTAAGATCATCTAGTTCCAACCCCCCTGCTGTGGGCAGGGACACCTCACACTAAACCATATCACCCAAGGCCTCGTCCAACCTGGTCTTGAACACTGCCAGGGACGGAGCATTCACAACCTCCCTGGGCAACCCATTCCAGTGCCTCACCACCCTAACAGGAAAGAATTTCCTTCTTATATCCAATCTAAACTTCCCCTGTTTAAGTTTTAACCCGTTACCCCTTGTCATATCACTACAGTCCCTAATGAAAAGACCCTCCCCAGCACCCCTATAAGCCCCCTTCAGATACTGGAAGGCTGCTATGAGGTCTCCATGCAGCCTTCTCTTGTTCAGGCTTGAACAGCCCCAACTTCCTCAGCCTGTCTTCATATGGGAGGTGCTCCAGCCCCCTGATCATCCTCGTGGCCCTTCTCTGGACTTGTTCCAACAGTTCCATGTCCTTTTTATGCTGAGGACACCAGAACTGCACACAATACTCCAGGTGAGGTCTCACAAGAGCAGAGTAGAGGGGCAGGATCACCTCCTTCAACCTGCTGGTCATGCTCCTTTTGATGCAGCCCAGGATACAGTTGGCTTTCTGGGCTGCAAGTGCACACTGCCGGCCCATGTTCATTTTCTCGTCGACCAACACCCCGAAGTCCTTCTTCACAGGCCTGCTCTGAATCTCTTCTCTGCCCAACCTGCAGCTGTGCCCGGGATTGCTCCGACCCAGGTGTAGGACCTTGCACTTGGCATGGTTAAACTTCATAAGGTTGGCATCAGCCCACCTCACAAGCGTGTCAAGGTCCCTCTGGATGGCATTCCTTCCCTCCAGCGTATCAACTGAACCACACAGCTTGGTGTCATCGGCAAACATGCTGAGGGCGCACTCAATCCCACTGTCCATGTCAGCGACAAAGATGTTGAACAAGACCGGTCCCAACACCGATTCCTGAGGGACACCACTCATTACTGGTCTCCAGACAGACATTGAGCCATTGACCACAACTCGTTGTGTGCGGCCATCCAGCCAGTTCTTTATCCACCGAGTGGTCCATCCATCAAATTGATGTCTCTCCAATTTAGAGACAAGGATGTCGTGTGGGACAGTGTCGAACGCTTTACACAAGTCCAGGTAGATGACATCAACTGCTCTACCCCTGTCCATCAGTTCTGTAGCCCCATCATAGAAGGCCACCAAATTGGTCAGGCAGGATTTCCCCTTAGTGAAGCCATGCTGGCTGTCACCAAGCACCTTGTTGTTTTCCATGTGCCTTAGCATGCCATCCAGGAGAATCTGCTCCATGATTTTGCCAGGCACAGAGGTGAGACTGACTGGCCTGTAATTCCCCGGGTCATCCATGTGGACTGTGAAGTGGTAGTGTATCAGATAGTGAAATGGAGGTGGACTAGATGACCTTTAAAGGTCCCTTCCAACCCATACTGTTCTATGATTCTAGAAATTATTATACCTGATATGTAACTGAATTTATTGTGCAACATAATAGATAGTGCTACAATAATTTAATTCTAGTGTAATGTATGCTGAAGTCAATATCCAGAGTTTGGGGTTTTTTCTTCCTATTGACTTCACTGAACTCTTATCATATCCAGAAGTTGTGTCATTTAGGGAATACTCAAAAGCTGTCTTCTGTTCAGGCAGCATTGGGAGCAATGGATTGATTTTCACTGTTTGAAGAACACAACAAGCCCAGCAGTGAAACTCCACACTGCTAGTAGCAGGGGGTGGGGAGGAAATCTTTCAAGATCTCACAGACCTTTGGAGTTTGGTCTACTGTAGATAATTACCTTACTGTAATGGGCATTGGTGTGATTGACTGATGCTAGGATTCCTGTTTCAGGTATGCATTGTTGATTATATTTACAGAGAACAATTCCTGCAACTGCTGTGTAGTTTGTAGGTTGTTCCACTGCAACTAAGCAACAACTTCTTGGCATGGGTGCATGTTTGTATATAAATATACACGTACTTGCATCAAATGACACCTACTTGCACCAAATGACTTGCATCTAAGAAAATTGCCACAAAATCACAGTGGTACTACATGCACAGCAGTGGAAAATCAGATCTTTAACAGTTAGTGATCCTGATCACTTTTGATTTGTCTTCTTCTGTATTACAAATGTTTTGTTCCTTGCAGGGTATGGCCTGTTGACATTTGTGTGCCAGCATCTCTTTCACACTGATACACCCTGTTGGTAAAAGGCAGGTGCTCCTCTGTTGTACCACATGCAAGTGCCGAGTTTTTACTTTGTTCAGTCCTTTTGAACAGTTAATTCTTTTTCAGGTGTTGCTCTGCACTCTGCTTTGCAGCTGAACATGACTGTGTTTCCCTCTATGATTCAGAAATGGAAGCCAATATGTCAGAGCAATTTTCTGCTGGTATTCGTAGGCATATGCTATGCCTCATCGGTTCAATGTGCCTCCTCTCTGCCTGCACATCCTGAGTCTGTTGCTTAGTGTACATTTTCTTAGAGAGCTGCCATACAGGATAGATGCTGAAATTGCATAATGGAGTATATTGGCTGACTTAGAGCTACAAGGGCAGAGAGATCTGCCTATCCTTCATCTTCTTCCTTTGTTCTCAGACCTGAGACACCTTTTCCACTCCTTTTCCAAAGCCAGTCAGTCAGACAGGACATACACATATGCATTTAATAACTTCTAAATCTTTTCTTCTGAAGTTCAGGTGAGCTTTTAAGAGACATTTTTAAAAGTAAAATGTTTACCACACAGAGAACTAACTGTGCTTTGTGTTTCATATCCATGTATGCTTCCTTCTTTTTCCTGTCTTTGAAATATCCCCCGTGTATTTTTTCCCTTTCAGAAGAATTCAGCTCCTTAAAAGCATAACTGTGCAGGTAAGACAAAAAAAGACTGACCAATTAATATGTTTTTCAAATCTAGCCCTTCTCTTTTCCTATTGAAAGTACAGAAATAAAGGATGGTAATCACGCAAAGAAACTACAAAGAAGTGAAAGTTAAGCCAGGATGGAAATTAGATGATCTCAAATTTCCTTCTTTTCTGCTAGCTTCTGTTATTATACAAGTTGTTTGGGCACCTAGGCCACTGCAAGATAGACAAGTTACTTTTCCTGTAAATATGACACCCTGAAGTAAAAATTTTTGTCCTCGTTGGGTTCTTTGTTTTCCAGCTTGCGAATATCAAGCGAGTCATCTTTCACATACAGGTAGTAACTTGTGTCTTCGTAGCACTGGAACTGCACTGAATCACCTTGGTAATGCATGATGAAAAAGTGATTATCTTCACTCAGCTATGAAAATACACAAAGTAAAGAACATAAGTTATATTTTAATATCCTTTTAAGAGGTTTCCATGTGACAAAAATTAATGGTTTTTCTGGCTTGTTTTATTTTGAATGCTTTTCTCCAGTAACACATACTTACTAATTTCTAGATAAATCTTTGGCAATACCTAATCATTTCGGGAGAGATTCTATCATAACTATGAGTAAAATAATACCTGCCTCCCTCAAAGGACTGAGTATTTCCAGACCCAAGCATTCTTTTGCTTCATAAAAAGACCAGCAGTTTTCCTCTGCAGTATACCTGTTATTTGGATCATTTAGGATTTTCAGCTGATTATTTTCTTATCACAAACCTACCCCATCAGTTGTCACTAGCAACAAAATGTCAATCAACAGTTTTTCTTGCCTCTTTTGGAGTGAAATTGGAATGTTTCAGTCTCAATTACTCTTAATCAATTTTTCTTTTACCTATTATTTTTCTCTCCAGTTTCCAACACACTTTTTTCCAGATACATCTTTGGAGGAATGGCTTTTGTCAAAACAGCCCCTCTGTGTGTGGGAATGTGTCTGGGCTCTCTAGGTACCTTCAGGTGAGGATGGAAAAACAGTTACCAGAAAAAACCATGTCAGAGAGTGGAAGAGGGCGTGCTGAGAGATAGCCTCTGAAAACATAAGACCTCGGGTCTACAAGCCCTGTTAAATCTACAAGGACAGGTAAGGTCAGGATACCAAGGAGGTGCTGAACCAGCCCAAGGCCTCCAGCACAGACTGGCACCCACAACGGATCATGTAACCCACACCACACCCAAGAAAGCAGCGGTTGCTGTGGGAGGGCAGACTACAGGACAGTGTTTGTAAGCACGCCCGCTGACACAAGGCACTGTGTGCATGAGTGACCTTGTGCACAGCTCCCTGGTGTGGGTACGAGGCCCTGCTCTCAAGCGTGTGCACTGAGTGAGGGAGTAGCTGAGAAGACTGTGTGAATAGTTACATGCTGCTAATAGTAAGAGCTCAATTAATAAAGGGTTGAGATTTATGATTCCCCCAACTCAACCTCTTGTCAGGGGGCAGGGAATTTATACCATCTTTTGCAGAAGGCTGGGGTGGTAAATGAATGCGTCACAATCAAATTATTTCATCTTCCCTTTTTGAGTAACCTGTTTGAACACCCTCATCCTACCTACAGGACAGTTCTATAAATCTGACCAGTCTGGCATATTACCATAGTGCACAATGTTTAAGGGGACCTCTGAAGTGAAACTGAATGCCTGGGGGAAAGGCTTGCAGCTGTGCTACAGATTACAGCATTGGCAATAATCACCCTTCCACAGAAGGAGGAATGTGTCCTTTCAGCCATTGTGACAAAAGGGGACATAAAGAAAATGTCCTGCAGGTATTATAAAGTACATGAAAGCAACTTGAGGATACACCTCCTGTATTAACAAAGATAAAATAAGGAAGAGCTAAAACATTCTGTCCTGATCAAGCCAGGCACAAAGGAGTGAAGGGCACACTACAATCTACATTTTGCCTCAGATGAAACAAGGCACATGATCAAAAACTGCATGAGGCATAAAATGATGAAAAGTGAACAAGCAAAACTGAGCTGCAACCTCAGTTGCACCAATGAAGCTACAGACCTTGGAAATATTACAAATTAATTGTAAGGCACTTTGAATTTGTCATTAAAATGGGGTTGAAGACACACCAGTGTTTCAGTTACTGCTGAGCAGTCCATGCACAGCATCATCAAGACCTTCTTATTTCCCACTCTGCCCCAGCAAGTAGGCTGGGGGTGGACAAAAAAGCTGGGAAAGAACACAGCTGGGACAGCCATCCTGGACTGGCGAAAGGGATATTTCATGCCATATGTCATGGGGAGCCATAAGGACTAGTGTAGAGAAAGAAGAGGGTGCGGATATTTTTTGCTTTTGAAGTGGCTTTTGCTCAGAGACTGGCTGGGCAATGATCTGCTTACGGGATGAAGTAAGTACTTCAGCGTCACTTGAGGGTTTTTTACCTTCACATATTATGCTGTCTTTCTCTTGACTCACAAGTTTCACTTTCACTCTTGCTATTCTCTCCCCTGTACCCCTGGAGGGGAGTGGGATTGAGTGAGTGGCTGTGTGGGGGCTTGGCTGCTGGATGTGACCAACACACCTCAGTGCTTTTCTTTCCACAGATGGTCCTGTCCTGACAAGTGGCAGGGCTGTGGTTCCAGCCCTGGGGCAGTCGGTTCCAGGCATGCTGGATATCCCTTCACATGAAAGCAAACTGTGGCCAGCACTCTGCTGCCAAAGGGATCAAGAAAAATGCTTTGGCAATGTTAGCTGTAGCATACACTGACACATTTGACTCCCATTCATATTGGAGCTCTGGACATCTGATACAGCAGCACTTGGTGGTGCTGTGACTTTTCTCAGGCCAGAATAGTTAACTTCTGCACTCCACTAGATTTTGACATGGGCAATATGGGACTACTGAAGGGTGAGTGAACTTTGCTGATCACTCCTTCATTTGCCAGTAGATGAATTAAAATTTTTGAGCCAAAAAAAAACCCAAACCCACAAGCTGCATGCTGGGTTGATCCCAGCCAGCAGCAGAGCACTGTAAAAATAGCACTGGTGTTTCTGACACGATCAAAAGTTCTGAACCAACATAATTCTGTGGACCTCACCTGCCAGATTTTGCCTGTTTGGAATTCCATTTTCTTTATTATGAGCTATTTAACTGAGGGAAAGAGTAAGTCCCACAATCAGATAATGGAATCATAGAACAGTTTGTGTTGGAAGGGATCTTTAGGATCATCTAGTTCCAATCCCCTGCCATGGGCAGCGACACCTCACACTAAACCACATTGTTCAAAGCTCCATTCAACCTGGCCTTGAACACTGCCAGGGATGGGGCAGCCACAGATTTTCTGGGTAACCTGTGCAACAGTGAACAACTTCTTCCTAATATATCTAGTCTAAATCTACCCTCTTTCAGTTTAAAATCGTTGCCCCTTGTCCTGTCACTACTTGCTTTCATACGGAGTCCCTCTCCACATTTCTCCAAGGTCCCCTTTAGGTAGAAGACCACTATAACGTCTCCCCAGAGCCTTCTCCAGGCTGAACAAGCCAGGCTCCCTTGGCCTTTCTCCATAGCAGAGGTGCTCCAGCCCCCTGATTATATCTGTGGCCTCCTCTGGACTCACACAAGCAGGTCCACATCCCTCTTGTGTTGGGGGCCCCAGAGCTGCATGCAGCACTGCAGGTGGGGTCTCATGAGAGCAGAGCAGAGGGGCAGCATCACCTCCCTCAACCTGCTGGTCACGCTCCTCTTGATGCAGCCCAGGATACGGTTGGTTTCTGGGCTGCGAGTGCACACTGCAGGGTCATGTTGAGCCTCTCACCAACCAACATCCCCAAGTCCTTTTCCTCAGGGCTGCTCTCAATCCAGTCTCTGCCCAGCCTACAGTTGTGCCTGGGATTGCCCTGACCCGGATGCAGGACCTTGCACTTGGCCTTGTTGAACTCCTTGAGGTTTGTGCTGTCCCTCTGGATGACATCCCTTCAGTGTGTCAACCACATCACGCAGCTTGGTGTCATCATCAGACTTGCTGAGGGTACATCAGTACCACTGCCTATGTCACTGACAAAGATGTTAAACAGGATCAGTCCCAACACTGACCCCTGAAGGACACCACTCATCACCATTCTCCACTAGCACACTGAGCCATTGGCTGCAATTCTTTGAGTGTGACCACCCAGTCGATTACTTATCCACCAAGTGGTCCATATGTCACATCTATGTCCCTCTAGTTTAGAGACAGGATGTCATGTGGGACAGTGTCAAATGCTTTGCACACGTCCAGGTAGATGACTTCAGTCGCTCTTCCCTTATCCACTAATGCTGTCACCCTGTCGTATAAGGGTCTTTCATGACTATATAGCTAACTTCTGACTTAATTTGTCTGTCTTGTTTAGTTTCATCCAACTATTCAGCAAACTAGAGAGGACCCTAGAATAAAAGCTGTTAGAGCTCTGAATGGAGGTATGAGAGTTGTAGCCTTTCAGACCTCAGTCTACCCAGCCTGGGGAATTCCAGTCAAAGTTTTGGGAAAAGTGCATCCACCTATCATAACCTAATAACACTGAGTTATCCACCAAGGCAAAACATGGAGAAAACCAGCCAGATCTAGTGATAGAATTATTGACTTCATTAATCTTTTCAGAAAATGTTCCAAGTTGAGAAGGAATTTAGGAGGAATCAACTGAGGAAGGAAAAAGGAAAGAAGTTTTGAAACTGAGGGAAAACTGAGTGCTACTACTACTTAATAAGAGCTGAGAGGGTTAAGTATACAGATACAAAGGTCTGAGTGTGATAAGGTATCATGAACAGTAAAATACTATGGTTGAACCAGAACAGAAATAACACTGAAGGGAGATAATACATGTATGGACTGAAGTAGATGTGTATTTCTCCAATAACCAATATACAATGGCTAAACCCTCCACTTCTGGAATGTAATTAATGAAAATGGCAAAAAAAAAAAAAAATTAAAACCTATTCCTACATATAACAACACAGAATGTGATCAACTTTTGTTAGTAATTCCCTCCTCTACAATTTTGCCCCCTGTACTCCCTCCTCCTACAATCTGTTTAGCTCTCTGTGTCCCAAGGATACAGGCCCACCACTGCTACTACATGGCTGCACAATTTTGGTCCAGACTTCTAAGGAAACTGCTAATTTGTGAGGCAGCCTAAAAGAAGAAAGAAGGGCTGGGAATAGTACCAGTCTAGCTGACTAGACTCCAGGTCAAATCAAGCCATTGATGCCAACAGCGAATGCTAAGTAAAATTCACTTCAGCATCATGTGTGACCTATATCAAGTGACAATGTTTATAAATGTAATCTTACTTGCGCTTAAAGAGACTGTGTTGGCTAGTGGGAGAATTATGTATAAGGGGTGGGAAACATCCCATCATTGGCAACATGTTGTAGGGAGATAGTTGTGAAAACATTTTCTATTGTGTAGCTAAAGGGAAATACAGTTCTGTATCTCTTAATTCATTCTGTTGTGTGGTTAGCTGCATTTGTTTGTATGACATCATTAATTATGATATCCATGCTCCATTATAGAGTTAAAATAATTACCATTATAAGTAAATGTGAGCCTGCTCCTGAGTGAACCACTGGTGTTGGCCTCTGCAGATGGGTGACTGCAAGCACGTGCACTGCCTGAGGGAGTAACTGCACATACAATGCAAAGAGTTTTCCACTCTTACCAACATAGTGTTGCAGTAGATACTGGCTGTGGTCTGTGTTACCTTCCTTAAGGTTTGATCCCCCACCAGAATAAGATGTTATTATAAAATAATTATTTGCTGTTACAAGCTGTTATTATTTTGTGTTAATAACAGCCTAATTGCTAAAGGAACTTTCAATAAATATTGATTGTGAACTCTGCCTCCATAAGCCTTGCTTACAGGAATAGAAATTTATAGCACTCTATGCAACTCTTCCTGCTGGTGTAACAGCAGGCTCCACAGATTCTCATGTTTCTGGTAATTCTACTGGCAGCCTTCCAGTAAAAAGAAAATGGCTCTCTTTAAGACTTACTATTACTTACTATTTCTCCATCTCAGTTGACTATTCATCCTAAGGACAGTGGGAGCTTAATTCATCACACCAAATACTATTTCCTGTCCAGTGTACTCACTCCAGAAGGTTTATTAAGAATCTCATGGTCCAGACTTGATTATGATTTTGCCTCTTGACTTAACTGGATGTGGTTCAAGTATAGGCTGCTGGTTTCTCCTCACACAAATGAGTAGTATTTGTTTTAATTCTATTTGAAGATATCAGCAAGAGACCATAACAAGTAGATCACTGTCTGTCTTGCTAGGTAATGAACAGGTTCTCAGAATCAGTTTTTCATTTTAATTATCTATTTAGAAACCCAGAGTGATGAATAGGTCTCTACAGGCAACTTACAGATCTTCTTTGCAGCTGTCCCCCAAACTTGCAGCCATCAAACACTAATTCTTTCCCTATGAACAGCTCCACAGAAAAATGACACATCTTCATAAAAGAGTATGAAGTACATTTTAGAAGAATGCAATATGACTGTGATAGTTTATATCACACAAGGACTAGAACTAGAAGTTGCCTTATAAATTTCCTAAGCTGCCCTGCTTTCTCCTTGAATGTAGAGCCAAGGAACGTTAAGTGCCTCAGCAGGAACTTAAACTGAAGAACTGACATGGATTTTTCAGGCCCAGTAAGGAGAAGTTTTTTTCATTAATTATTGAAAAAAATATACAGTACTGTAGCTCATTCCTTGAAAGACCGTTTCAGAATGACTTCAAACAAGAAATTTGTTTCAAATTACCAGAGTTCCTTTCTGATTCAGGAGAAATTTTAGGCATGTTAGAAATACTAGGCTGGGAATTTTAGGTTTTCAGTGTTTCACATTTGCTATTATGAAGTTCTGATCCTAGATAGCTTTAATTTTGCTCAGTGAAATTGGAAAGACTGTCTTTTCAATTCCTTGTGTAGCAAGTTCCCTGGACTACTATTATTAGTTATATTTCCTTAGGTTTTCATTTTCTCCAGGTTATAATGTCTGTCTAAGGTATCTTACAGAACAAGTAAACTACTTACTTGTTCTATAAAGTACTTACTGTGTTCACAGTATTTTATCACTGGCTCTAGGAAAGAGCCAACAAAATCAAGCTTTGGTCACAAAAACATATTAAGAAACCACCTGTCTACCTGTATTTCTATACAGAGTGCATTAATCCTGGTTTATAATCATCTACTGATGAAGAATTCAGTTTGATAGTATTTCAGGAACTACTTACTTTTAATTTCCTATTTATATTAAATTATATATATATTTTTAATGGTTTCGTTACTTCTCAGTAGTTTTTGACAAAGGGTTCACTATTTCTGTAAATTATCATTGCTTTTGTAATCTGACCCTTCTAGACCTGCTAATACACTCATTCAGATTTTCTACATCTCATCTAAGAATTTGTACCTGGTGAAAACTGTTTTGTATTTCCCTGTATTTTATATAATACTACAGGAAACATCTCTGTCTTTCATGTTTTGATTGAAAGTCAGATATTTTTCCTGTACATTAAAGGACGCACTCATACATTCAAGCTAAGTCAAAAGTACAGAAAATTTCTTATTCTCCTTTTTTTTTTTTTTGAGGAAAATACTAGAGATCAGCTGAAGTTAGAAAGCAAACAATTTGTCACTTAGTGAGTAACAGCAGGATGCATTTAGCTGCACTTCTCACAAACCTGTATTTGCATACACACTCTCTCAGACACACATTTTTACATGTTCGATCATAATCAGATACCTGTTTGACATCAGGATCTTCATGGTTGCATGTTTTCATGTTGCATTTTTCCACTGAAGGATAATCTGGCTCTGAACTGCATGCTTTTAAGACCTGTGTTTATAACCACCCAGATTGGTAATTTTGTCTTCATATTTAACTCTTTTAATCCACTGAATATCTTATTGATTCTAAAGAACACTCCTTTTTTTAAAAAAAGAGTAAATTCTATTAACGATTAAATTCAAATTAGCCAAGATTAATAAATTGTCAAGCTTTCAAAACTCATCCCTGAATATATCCCTCTTTTACCATTTGCAATGCAAAATGGAGTGGGATGAAAGCAAATACCAAAGACAGTACTTCATTAGTACTGTCTAATGCCCAAATTCATTTTGCATTGCAGCCAAGACTGAACCATGCTGTAATACCAAATACCGAAATTTTTTCAGAGATAAGGGGACATCTTCCAAACCAGAATTCCTGACGAGATTAAGAAAATTAATTGTATTCTGCTGGGGAAAGAAAAGCCCATGATCTTTCAGAGGTTTTTACATATTTGGAGACACTAAACATGTCTGTCTTAATTTCCAGATAAGAACTGCCTTTAATTATGTAAAGAAACATAGTGTGGTATAACCCAGTACTTTAAAATACGTGGTTGAGAAGTAAAATCCATTAGGGCTCAACTCTTAGCTCTTTCCTTGTTTTGGCAAAACACCTTTGAAACAATTTGTGAAAATGTAATCTCTGAACTACAAAAATTCTTTTAAAAAGATTGCTTTTTCTAGGACAGAAAGGAAAATCCCAATAGGGTAATAGGCTATAAATATAATTAATGTATCTCACAACATTCATTTGCCCAGATAATTTCAGGAGATACATCTTAGGGAAAAATCATCTATGAATTAAAACCAAATGAAAAACATCAAAGACTTAATTTGAGGAAACATTTGATGATTTACATCACCATACCATGGCCAACATTAGATGAAGGGTCATTCTTTATCTCAATGTAACCTGTGTAAAGAGAGCTTCTTGAACCTTTGCCCTGGTTTAGCGCGTAAACTCTACATAATGTCCTTGCTCAAATGGATTTTAATAAATGTTATAACCCTCCAATATCGAAAGCTATCCTTGCCTGCTCTTCCTACCATAAGCAAACTTTCGCAAAACTGGAGAAAATGAGAATGCTCTCACGATATATGGTAAATGTTTAGAACAGGATACTACATTCAGCTGTATTTTCTTTTAATCACATTCCTTATCTTGTAATTCAGGTTGATTGAGAGAAATATATTTCCCATCTTAAACTTCTCTCTCTCAAAGACAGCATTCGTCCTCTTTCCTCCACTTTTATTTCTTACATGTTTTCTGGTTGAGAAGCCTCCTGTCCCTCCACAGACACTGGAACCAATATCCCTAACTGTCATTTAGTGATAGTATCAGCTACTTAACCTAATAAAACAGGTTATTGAAAAAATAGGATTTTTTTTTTTTTTTCCCCAGGAAGTACAGAGGGAGTTGGTCAGAAGTTGTGAAATGTGGAAGATGGTAAGTAAAAGAAAATTAATTTGAAAAGGTCGGGGGGGGAAATTGTCCTATAGTAAGAATGAGCAACCCTAAGTTACAAAGGAAATAAACTTACCTTCAGAGAAAGATGCTTCTTACCCTTGCACAATAGGACAAATTCATTAAGCTTTGATCTCTGAGTGAGGATCACCACATTTTTAGAATCTGTTTTACACAGAGGAGAATATTGTAATAAAATACGTATCACTTTATAAAATGAAGCAGAGCTGAAAGTATTTTGTACAGAAACAATATTCAGGTTCAATTTACACTGATGCATATAGGACTGGTAACAAATATAATCACTTTTGGTACCGTTGTCTTCTGTGGTGCATGTAAAGGTTATGGATTTATGATGCTTTAAGTTTGCCATATACACACTTTACTTTTCTATATTTATAGCTGTAGAATATCAGTCATATATTAGTATATAATATGAACTACAAAGGCATATAAGTACTTGATGCATATATGTAATATACATGCTTATGTAATATGCCTAAATATGCATACTATGGAAAATGTAGGATTTTTTTCCTTTTATTCTCTTCATGCTTTCTTTTCAAAATCTTTCCTCTGTCGTAAATGTGGGTGCATTGGATTTACTTCCTTTTCAGATAACACTGTACTTTCAGCTGCAGGAAATAAGAGCCTATGAATATTACAGGATACTCCTCAGCCTGATAAACTGACAATAGTCATTACCATACAAAAGCTTCAGGAAAAGGTAGACAGGTCAAGGGACCCTTTGTCGATTGACAGGGTATACAAAAGCCCATGACATCAATAATTATGCAATGATGCTATAACTGCCTGACTGTCTTGCAGATTTACTTCAAATAATACATCTTCTGCTTTTAGAAGTATCTTAGGTGCACTGTTTAAGACAAAAAAAGATTAAAAAAAAAAGTAGCAGTTATCTGTATGTCCGTCACTGCAGCAACTGAATGCAAACTTTACAGATGTTGGGTAATTATAAATGAACAGTTGCAGTTGAGGAGATTTTTTTTTCATATTACCTAAGGTATTTTTTTAGCCTTAGAAGGACATTCAGAATCAGGAGAACATAGTCATCCCACCTGGCTAATCTTAGCTGCTGTAGTCCTGGCCACAATTTCAGTTGCCCTGATTTACCCAACTGTAATGTTTTTGTGGAAGTCTTCTGAAAGAGTTTTTTCTGAGCCAGCTACAGCATGAAAATAGCATAAAATTCCTGTTAAAAAGCAATACACACTCCAGCCTAGTGTATTTTCCTCAATTTACATACGTATTCAGATAAATGTAGTGGAACGTAGATGGTCTAAGATTCTGCCATTGTTAGTACATTTTGTGACATCACCAGATTGCCTCAGCCACAGTGGTCCAGCTTCAGCTGTAGCATGTAAGAGGCACATCATCAGGCAAGAGAGATTTCATATCCATGTTGAGAGTGTTCTGACTTAGATGTAAGAGTGGCAACAGAAGAGATGCAGGAGTCCAGCCAATTCACCGGGGACACACATCAATGTGAGTTATGTCCTAGCTATCCTTGGCTTTCTCTGTCTGTAGAATTTACTGTGACTTGTTTATTCTTTACTTAGCTTGAGTAAATCCAAAGAAGTCTAATTTTCCCTGTCACCTCTACAAAACATGACAAGTGGTCTATCAGGCAGACACTGAATGGCAAAGAAAGTAAGGAATCTTCCCATGATTTCATATGTGATGCTTCCACTCTCTGGAGGCCTTTGGATGAATTACTTCACCTATGTGATTACTTACCAGAGTCTAAGGGCTGATTTTACAGATTCATGCAAAGGAAATGCTTTGAAATCAGCTAATACAAAAAAAAAATTCTTGCTTGGGTTGTCCCTGAAATGTGAAGCATTGGAATTTGGGAGGATATCAGTATCTTATACTGTAACCTAGAAATCCCATTTGGCCATTGTTCAAGATATGGTACTGGACCAGATAGGTATTTGCTCTCATCTATGACAGCAGCCCTTTATGGCTGAAATTGGAATACATTTCTCCTCTGTTGGAGAATACCTGGAACTAATATATTTTAGATTTTCCCAATAATTTCTTACTCTTCCATAATATTCAAAGAATGTATTTCCTCTTCCTTGACATCCATTTCATTTTGGGTTTCCTCTCCTGTTACAACAGGTCTTTGCTAGCTAAGACCCATAAGTCAGCAATACAGCACACACACTTTTCTTGGGAAAAAAAAAAGAAAAGAAGTTGGATTTTCTAGCTTGTATACATTATATTTCCTCATATACAAATGTCTTCAGTCCAAGCCATTACTTGCTAAGGCAAATTTTGTGACTTCACAGATTTTTTTCTTATGGAACACAGAAGGCTCTTTAATTTTTAGAGTTGTCCAGCAACCTGACTTAAATGAAAATCTGGTGTAATATGTTACTTCTCTGTAAAGTCTACATATAAATATTTACTTTTCCAACTCTCAAATGCCTCTTCAATCCCACGCCCTAACAAAGAGAATGATACCTTTTATTCTAACAGAAGTCTTACCAGTAACTGCTGATTCATTCCTGGTAAACACACTTAACCACGCAATATCTAAAATAAAAGATGTTTAATAAATATGTGGAATTGTTCAAATTTAAAAGCACTGTAAGCAATTTAAAGAATTATTTTAAAACATAATCTGAAAGAGACTGAGTAATAACAATTGGCATCAGACTACATTTCTTGCAGGTTTCTGAATTCATATAACCCCAGAAGACCGTGCAGTTAGACTTGTGAACAGGTACCCTGAAGTCTGAACTTTGAGGCTAATAAATGTATTGATTGAAGAATTATCTTTTGCAGAAGAGAATGCACCTGAGAAAACAGAAGTTAGTAATGAGATGTAAGGCCTAAAATGCTATTGAAGAGAAGCCTGGAAGTCTTTGGCAGCAGACGTGAGGACCCTAATAAGAAATGTAAAAGATTGGAAAATAACACATAGCAATAGCAGATGGTTTCTGGCTTTTCCAACAACAGCCTGAATCACTATCTGTGAAAACATCACTCACTTCAGGTCAAAGTCACAATCATCTGGGTTACAGATGTTTCCTAATATGTTGTCTGAACTGTATTGTCATGAATATATGTTTGCTGTGATTGTGTTTACATATACGAGAATATCACATAGCATTTTCTTTTTTTTTCCTTTTCCTCTAGGAACATCGGTATCTTCTGCATCAGGATTGTCATACTACAAATCTATTCACAAACTGTTTCTATTGTATACTTCTACAGATTGTGGTTCTGTTCATAAATTATCAATACCAATTGTATAGTTTACTTCAAAATTCTATGAAGTTATCAAGTAAAAGATACTTCAAAAGATATAAAGCACACTTCAATATGTTATCAGTGCAGCTGCCATTATTCACAATTTAATAGAATAAAAATAACACTAGCTTATAAATATATCAAAGAAGCCTTACTCTGTTTTTGTCTGAAGCATATATAATGGACTTCTCATTCCTGTGAAAGCTGAAGGTTTGTAAGAAATAAAGTTTCAGTAACTTAATAGCTATCTTAAAGATTTCATCTTTTTCCTGTATTTTGGGTAGAAATATGGTTTATTGGTTTTTGTTCTCCCTACTTTCACATCTCTGGAAAATGTATAATTCTAGAATAATTGCATTTGTTGTTATTTGCCTCTTATCTACTGAAAGAATACCCTCTAACAACTAATGTTCTGATGTTACTTATGATATCATTTTTAGTGTCAGAGAAGCCCCACTTGAGATAAGAGTTCCATGAAACATAAAATAATCCCCCAAATTCCAAAATCTCCTCTATTTTGTCTTTTTTTTCCATTTTGACCCTGTCTCTGAGGATTATCTTTGCTTTCACTGTCTTCATAGTAAATATCTAGACCTCCCATTGACTAAAACGGGGGTGAACAAAGTAATCTTCTTACCATCTATTAATGATAATACTGTACATACCGTAAACTGGAATAAAAGTTTTCTTATATCACTATTGATATTCATGAAGATGCACTAAAACATTATGTTTACATAAAAGATAGAATCACAGAATCATTTAGGTTGGAAAAGACCTTAGGATCATCTATGCCAACCATTAACACAGCACTGCCAAGTTCACCACTGGACCATGTCACTAGCACAGCATCTATGTGTCTTTTGAACACCTACAGGGCTGGTGACTGAACCCTTCCCTGGGCAGCCTGTTCCAGTGCTTGACAACCCTTTCGGTAACGACATTTTTCCTAATATCCAATTTAAAACTCACCTGGTGCAACTTGAGGTAATTTCCGCTTGTCCTATCACTTGTTACTTGTGAGAAGAGACTGACCCCACCTCACTACAACCTCCTTTCAGGTAGTTGTGAAGAATGATAAGGTTCCCCCTGCACATCCTTTTCTCCAGGCTAAACAACCCCAGTTCCCTCAGCGGCTTCTCATCAGACTTGTGCTCTCTAGACCCTTCAGCAGGTTTTCTGCCCTTCTCTGGACATACTCCAGCACCTCAATGTCTTTCTTGTAGTGAGGGGCCCACATAACAGTACATTAAATAATATCCTATAGTACTACGCATACAGTTGGCAAGTTTTGGTATAAAAAGCACACTACCTTCATGGGATTGTGAATCCTTGGTTGATATTTCATGGTGACCATCTTCATCTATGTCAAAATGCACTGTTTTTGAATCTTCAGTCAGTATATAGCATTTCAGTGTTTCTCGCAAACACAATGCTAATAAAAAATGAGACTTAATTAATTTTACTGGCAACAGGAAAATGGTAAAAATCCATATAAAAAGATCAAGTGTATTTTCACAGCAACCTTTGCTTGGCAATCTATGTATACTTGAACTATGGACAGTATAGCTAACATATAGTAGAAATCATACACGGGGTTTAAGCAGCTGCTTGAGGGGCTTGATGGTGGTATAAAGAAGGAAAGCATAGATTTCTTTTCTTGGAAGGTTATGTCAGTGAGAAGAGGAAATGTATGCTGAACCTTTTGGGAAGTTCACAGGTGCGAAAACTTCAGTTTGACAAAATGGCTTCCAATCCAAGAGCTTGAGGGATAGTGTAAGAATCTGGGAGTGTGGAGGTGAGGTGATGTGGACAAAGTCCAGACGGCTGTAGTGAAAGAGTTTGTGGGGATGGGAGTAATTTGAACATAAGAAAGGGGTCAAAATGGGGAGCTGGCTGGTGAATGAATTATTTTACAGTGGGGGAAAGACCTCTGTGAGAAACCAGAGCCAGAGCAAGGCTGTGCACAGGAGCCTGCACACCGAGAAACATGAAAAACAGAGTTAAGTGACAAGATTTCGTTCTGAGGAAGAGGTGAAACGGGAAGTATCTCTGCAGCATACTGTTTCTAGTCTAGTTTCTTTTATGTCACAGGTAGTCACCTCTCTCTCAGTTTTGCACTTTGAAAACTGGATCTGCATACAGACAAAAGTTTTAGGTTAGAGTGCTTATGGCTATAAAATAGTAGCATTTATTTTGGTGACCTGATGTCTCTTACTGAAAAAACCACAGGTCTTTGTAGCTAAAGGCTGTCTACAAGGAAGTGCTTCCCTATCACTACTGAACAAAACTGTGCTGTTCTGGATGTCAGAAGTATCTAAGCCCAGATTCTTGGGTGTCTGACACCTACAGAATAACTATGAGGCACAATGTTGATTATGTTAGGCCAAATACTGTTTTCCTGGAATAGGTTTTCTACTTTCATATTCAGTTAAGACATTTATCAGACCACACAGACCACACTGGGTGTGCTGTGAGATAAACAGTCCTTTCTTCACCAGACCAATTAGCCAAACAAAACAACAGGATACTCAAAATGCATCAGCAGAGACCTAACATTCTGGGAATGCTTGACTTCACTGAAAACTTTGTTACTCATTTTATATTGATGTAACTCCTCTGAAACATCTGTATTTAAGCAGACATTTTGAAAGAAACAAAGTTGTTTCCAAGAAGCTTTCTTTCCACCCTGTTTAGGCTGAGCAGAAATTCTGCACATGAAGTCAACAAAGAGATGGATGATGCACACCCTGACAGCCCAAGTTACACACTCCAGAAGTGGCAGGTCTGACACATCCTGTGTTGGACCTTCATCACGTGCATAGCTCATCCTCGTGTGGGCAAAGGTCTTCAAAGGCCTTTGATAACTTGATAACAAAGGCTACCAGGCTTCCAAAAAAAAAGGTGGATTGTTCTAAAAAGCAACAGGGCAACTACAATAATCAATACAGCAAACCTTCTAAAAATTGTTATAACAGTTACAGTGTGAGAATTCTACTTCCAGCTAGAATCACAAAAACTAGTACAGTGTCCAAAATAAAACAGTAGGCAGGCCTGCTATGTCATTCACTCTTGTCCAGCTAGGTAGAGACATACTTTAGGAATTACTCATCTGGATTTGAGGTGTGAAAAATCTAAATAATTCTAGATTATTTTTTTTTTTTTACCCTATTAGAGATAAGCTTTTCCAGATACTTAATGTGGTTGCATTCTGCTTTCGGTTGGAATTGTCCTTCCAATATTACAAACACAGCTTTCACTCAGGAAAGTTACCTGGTTTTCTGGAAGCTGTTTTCACAGTTCCCAGCAGAGATTTCCTCTTAACAGACTTCCTTTCATGGAACAACACTTCATATGGCTTTCTGCGGCCTGAGCGGAGCAGCATTGCAAGAGCACTTGAGAAACCCTGGTAACTCGAGTTGCTTCACTTTTCAGTCCTAAAGCAGGAGTTAGAACTTGTCAAAATATTTAATGTTTTGATTGCAAAACAACTTCACAAAGAGTATATTTACATATATAAATATATTTTGATACGTAACAGTTAAAAGAAGCAGGATAAGCTCAATAGATATTTGACTGTTTACATGACCAAAGCCTATGTCTTCCAAGGCAAAAACAGTGTATTTCCAATTAAACTAAATCAATTACCTACCTATACTTCCACAGAGATGCAGGTCACCATGGATATAGTTGTGTTGAAGGAATATATTTTTAAATACTTCCCCTTAGATAAAATATAGGCACTTCATTTGACTTCAAGTTAATTTATTTATGCTTCTCAATCCAAGGAAGAACGCTGCACTTTGCAAGCTGGATTGAAAATCATATTCTTTTTGTTCTTCGGAATACAGTTAAAGATAATTACCAAAGCATACATAAGTGATTGAAAATTATGATAAATTCAACACAGCATAATCTGACTTTCAGTAAAGACATGTAGCCATACTGCAACAATTCATATTTTCAAATGATTAATCTTTACTTTCAATTCAATAATTTGACTTTGGTGTGCTTTGCATCTCTTAAAATAATGTTGTATATGTGACTATATTTACAAAAAAAAAAAAAAAAAAAGAATGTTTTTCAGTTTTCAAAGGCTAGATGAACAAAAGGGAATAAAGTATTACCTAGTCTAGTGTCCTAAAGAGGTGCTGGTGTCTAGGAATGGAAGCTACATTAATTGAGGAACCACATAGGCAGCTAATGAGATATCCTGAAAACACAGCTTAAATCACTGCATTTCAGAAAAGCTAAGGATCTTAATTTGGTTTGAAGAAAAGGAAACTGGAATTCTCATATCTGCACACTCTCCTGAGTGTGACACTCTCCTGGTTATGACAACAGTTTATGTCAAGTGCAGACAGAAAAACCCAAGGAGCTTCATTTTGTCTGGTTCTCTGGGGGATGAACCAAGCAAAGATGTGTATAATTTTAGCCCCATGCAGCTTTGCATAGTAGAACTAAATATCAGTTATGCCAGAGACATCATGGTTCTGACACTGAATTCATGTGGGGGAGGGGGGTTCTGTCTTCTGGTTGAGTTCATTTCACTGATGGCAGAATTCCACTTTAAACATTTATGTGAAAAGGTAGAAATGGAAGAATTCTGTCCCTGGCAACTTTCCTGTTACTAGACGACAAAGGCTATCTAAGGCATTTTTTCACTGGTTTTGGCTCTTTAGTTGTAACTAAACATTCAATTAGGCTACTGAAAAGTGAAACATTTACTAGAAAGCATTAACTTTCTAGTAAAGATGTCTCATTTTTCAAATGTCTGATAACTTGTAGTCAGAGGTAGAAAGTAAAGGCTGGATCTTCTTCATCTGGCTGAAATTGTTTCATCACTGAGCGTGTTAAGCAAAAGGGAGCAACTCTGTAGTTTTCCAGAAAGTCCTAACTGTGACCTTCCTTCTGCAAACATGTAACAGAATCAGGCACCGCAGAGTATGGGGCAGTAATACCAGCTTGTGAATCTTGAGAGGCGTTAAGCGTGTTAGGTGTCCAGCATTCACAAAGCATCAAGACCTTGTTAGAATTAGGATGCTCAAAACAAGACAGTTAATCCCTTACAGAACATTCCTACTGAATACAAATGGAAAACATTACATAACATTCCTACTGAAAATAAGGGCAACTCAAGTTTGGCTGCATTTGGTCAGAATTTCAGAAGGTCCCAGTTCCTGATTCTTATACCCAGTGAAGCCATCAGGGAATGGTCTTCTGCTAGATTTTCCCTTCATATACTGCAGCTATTAATGCCAATGTATGTTGAGTTAGTGCTAAATGCTTAATGAAATGTTTTTTGGGGCTTTTGAGAACCATGCCAGCCTAGATCCAGAGTCTTGCATCCATACTATTTACACCCACCACTGCAAGAAAAGGAGGATGATTACAAGCCAAGACCCTGAAGAATTCCTGAAGAGGGAAGACCAGTTCAAAGAAATTTTCAGAACCTTATTTAGGAAGTGGATAAATTCTTAGGAAGTTTTCTATGGAGAAAGTTATACAGGAAATCTTGATATCTGAAGGAATGTACTTAAGTATTTCTGCTTGTTTGAACAAATAGAAAATGGGAAAGTCTGTGGTAGAATTTCACCTCGGTTAGCTCTCCAGAACAAAGAAGGCTCTCTACAAGACATAACAAAAGTTTCCATAGCTTGAATTTCCTCACATGTCCCTTAAGACTGAGTCCCATTTCAATAAGCCTTTTCTCTCATGTCACTACTCCCACTTTTTGCATTCTTACTCAGTTTTAAATATCGTGTGTCTCTCCCTATGTGTTTTTGTTTTGTTTTCTGTTATTTTAATCTCTCTCATACCCGTTTCTTCAGTTTGTTTCCCTCTTCTTTAATGCGTGTGCTGCTTGGAGATGGCTAGGAAGAGCTGGATACTGTTCTTGGCTGCAGACCTACTCCACTGTTGATTGTTTTGGAAACTTGGGTCTGTTCGTCTCACATCTAAGCTAAGCACAAGGGAAGCAGAAAACTGAAGCTATAGCTCTTGCAGCTGCTGAAATCAGATATACTTGAGCACATTCGTGGCCAATGGCAACAAGGTCACTGTAAAAGCAGAGGGAGTTTGAATTTTTTTCCTGCTACACAGACTGTATCAATGCATTTATATGAAGGCAGCAGAGAAAGTCTGTTGTATAGCTTCTCTTGCCCTCTTAGCGATCTAATTCGTTCTTAGCCATCATTCTCTCTTTCACTTAGCTACAGATACATGTGATAAAAAACTAGATCAAATTCAGTACATTAAAACAGGATTTAAAATTTTGGAGTCCATTCCCATGGTGATATGATCCAAATATTATCTCATACTGTCTTGGTACATTGATAACAAGATATCTCTAAGAATGCTTAAGGATCAGAACTCTTTTTTGTCGAATTTCTGTCAAATATATTGGGTTGCAGCTGACAGTTCTGCTTCCAAAGAACATAAGTAACTCCTCCAAGTTTGTTAAAATCTAACACTGGATTAAAATGAACTTCACATCCTTTATCCTTATAATATCCTTATAATAAGGCTATCATCTCTTTCAAATCAGACAGACTTTATTAAACCTATAAACTAGACACAGGAATATATAAAAATAGCTATGAAATAGTCTAATGAAGAGATTTTAGAAGAAAACCCTAAAGTCAACTGAGAAAAAAATCACTTTTTGTTAGAATCTTAACAAGCAGTCTGATAAAATAACATTAAATTGAAGCCTATTTAAAACCCTGCTGCTATCTTCTGCTCTTGCTTACCTTATTTTGCCTTTTATTGTCTCTTCTGGGATACTTCTACTCAGCAGAATGCTAGAAGCAGCTCTGTTACAGCCAATTTATTGCCTGAATGCATGGCAGGAAGCCAGACCTCCAAGTAAAATAAATGTCTGACGTGGACCCAATCTTTTAGTTTTCTACATTCGCTTACTACACCAATATTCTCCTGGCTCTAGCTGCTGCTAGCATTTCAGGAGTGCTGGAAATGGTAAGAAAAAACTTTTAACCATCTGTTTCTCTAAGATACCACAGAATCTGTCTTTTCCTGGAACTGTATGCAAATTTTAGCCATTAGTTCTGAATCCGCCTGAATATAGTCATAAATACCATTCTGATATTTTATGTTATTGATATTGTTCTTGCTAACTGCCATTTCTGCCAAGGCTGATTCCAGAGCAGGTGCTTGGTTTATGGTAGTATAGACATATTTAAGTTAGGAGTGTAATTTCAGTTGCAGGGAGTTTGAAACAAGTTAACTGCTTAAACATTTACCCAAGTGGGCTTTGCAGGCATTGCAACAGCAATAGTTGGACTGCTTCTGACATAAGTGAACTTACTTACAGTGGATGCACTGTATTTTTTTGCCCATAAAACCCAGAGAATGTTTTTTATCATACATCGCTCTTTCATTATCATATTTGGCATGTTGAGTTGGCTTTATCTATCTACCTACATACATTCCTAACCCCTGACTCACCTACTGGTCCTCTCCATTCATACACACTAGAGTTGTTTTATTATATAAGCCTTGAATTTTCAAAGGAGTGAATCATATTTTTATATACCTCACTGAAACAATGCAACTCCTCTAAAAAAAATTACTTCCCCCCCCCCCCCCCCCAACTTTTCTTAAAATCAAGCAGCTACTCTTTGTATCTAGAACTTGTACACTAAGTCAATAAAGTTCTATATTTAACCTGGTTTTGGTTTGGGAATTTTGGGAAAATTCTCTCTTATTTCATTAAGCCCACACTGGACATTGGTTGTATATCAGATCTGTAGAAATATTTTGTCAAAAAGATACATTTAATGACAAAGGAATTTGAAACTTTGAAATCTCAAGATTTTGCTACTACTCAAGCAGCCTGAAAAGTGTGGGAAGAATTCTAAATGTCACAACATGAGACTGTCACCTTCCTGGTTTTGTCTCTGATAGAGTTGATTTTCTTCCTAGTACCTGCTACAGTGCTGTGGTTTGGATTTAGCAAGAGAATAATGTTGATAACACACCAATATTAAAGCTATTGCTAAGCAGCATTTACACTGAGTCAAGGATTTTTTAGCTTCTCATGACACCCCACCACTGAGGAGGCTGTGGGCACAAGAAGCTGAGAGGAGACACAGGCAGGACAGCCGAGCCCAAATGGTCAGAGATATTCCATACCATATGGCATCATGCTTAGTGTATAAACTAAGGGAAAAGCTGTCCAGTAGCCGCTGCTCATGAACTGCCTCAGTCAGTGGGTAGTAAGCAACTGCATTGTGCATCACTTTTTTTGCATGCTGTAATTATTGCATCACCATTATTATTATTTTCCCTTCCATGTCCTATTAAACTGTCTTTATCTCAACCCACAGGTTTGGGTTTCAGTTTTTATCCACAATTCTCTCCCCTATTCCACTAGTTGGTGGAGCAGTTCTGTGGTGTTTAGCTGCCTGCTGGGTAGCATGTTGACTCACAACATGGGGCACAAAGGGTTGAAATAATGATAGATCTGATCTGAGCATGTTAAATGTGGGATAGTATAAGCAAGTGCCCAGGACAGCAGTCACTTCCAACATTTTGGAATTTCACCCTGAGGAAGTGCAGCATCCAGAGAAAACTAGCAAACTATTTGGAAGGAGTATGCTGTTACCCTGGCAATTCCCACTGAGAGACACAAATCACTGCAATGTGCTGGAGCCTGGACAGCACCTACCAAGCCTTGTTCAACCCTATTCAGCACCCTCAGGAGAAGAAGGTCTCTGGATCTGATGACATTTAAAATAACATGCACTGCAGCTATTCTAACTCCAGTGACAGGCACAGCAGCTGAACAACAGAACCAACTTGTGCCAGTGTAAGTTGCCACTGTGCAGAAAAAGAAATCCTGGAAGCAGGAGTCAGCTCATTCAGAAACAGTGGTGGGGCTTTCAAACACTGGAGTACATCCAGCAAAAGCCTGCACCTGGGTCAGAGCAATCCCAGGCACAGCTACAGGTTGGGCAGAGAAGAGATTCAGAGCAGTCCAGCAGAGAAGGACTTGGGGGTGTTGGTTGATGAGAAAATGAACATGGGCCGGCTTCAGTGTGCGCTTGCAGCCCAGAAAGCCAACCGTATCCTGGGATGCATCAAAAGGAGCGTGACCAGCAGGTCGAAGGAGGTGATCCTGCCCCTCTACTCTGCTCTTGTGAGACCTCACTTGGAGTATTGTGTGCAGTTCTGGTGTCCTCAACATAAAAAGGACATGGAACTGCTGGAGCAAGTCCAGAAGAGGGCCACGAGGATGATCAGGGGACTGGAGCACCTCCTGTATGAAGACAGGCTGAGGAAGTTGGGGCTGTTCAGCCTGGAGAAGAGAAGGCTGCATGGAGACCTCATAGCAGCCTTCCAGTATCTAAAGTGGGCTATAGGGGTGCTGGGGAGGGACTCTTCATTAGGGACTGTAGTGACAGGACAAGGGGTAACGGGTTCAAACTTAAACAGGGGAAGTTTAGATTGGATATAAGGAGGAAATTCTTTCCTGTTAGGGTGGTGAGGCACTGGAATGGGTTGCCAAGGGAGGTTGTGAATGCTCCATCCCTGGCAGTGTTCAAGTCCAGGTTGGATGAAGCCGTGGGTGACAAGGTTTAATGTGAGGTGTCCCTGCCCGTGGCAGGGGGGTTGGAACTAGACGATCTTAAGGTCCTTTCCAACCCTAACTGTTCTATGATTCTATTATTAGTCAACACTAGGGGATCTGCCAATCAAACTAGCCCTTCCCAATCAAAACTATTACATTCTATAGAAGGAGATAAAGTTCCTGTAGTGCACATAAAGAATCAGCTGGAGAAACCAGTCTGTGTTATTCCTGCTTCAGACAAAGTCAAATCCATTTGTGGGAGTGCTTTTGCTCAAAGACCTGGACGCACTTGGTGGGTAATACAGGAGGATGGGGAAGTCCAGTGTGTACCTCCAGGGGATTTCATTCTAGGTAAGAATAGCCAATGATTTGAATTGTATCATGTTAATTGCTATATAGAATCATAGAACAGTTTGTGTTGGAAGGGATCTTTAGGATCATCTAGTTCCAATCCCCTGCCATGGGCAGCGACACCTCACACTAAACCACATTGTTCAAAGCTCCATTCAACCTGGCCTTGAACACTGCCAGGGATGGGGCAGCCACAGATTTTCTGGGTAACCTGTGCAACAGTGAACAACTTCTTCCTAATATATCTAGTCTAAATCTACCCTCTTTCAGTTTAAAATCGTTGCCCCTTGTCCTGTCACTACTTGCTTTCATACGGAGTCCCTCTCCACATTTCTCCAAGGTCCCCTTTAGGTAGAAGACCACTATAACGTCTTCCCAGAGCCTTCTCCAGGCTGAACAAGCCAGGCTCCCTTGGCCTTTCTCCATAGCAGAGGTGCTCCAGCCCCCTGATTATATTTGTGGCCTCCTCTGGACTCACTCAAGCAGGTCCACATCCCTCTTGTGTTGGGGGCCCCAGAGCTGCATGCAGCACTGCAGGTGGGGTCTCATGAGAGCAGAGCAGAGGGGCAGCATCACCTCCCTCAACCTGCTGGTCACGCTCCTCTTGATGCAGCCCAGGATACGGTTGGTTTCTGGGCTGCGAGTGCACACTGCAGGGTCATGTTGAGCCTCTCACCAACCAACATCCCCAAGTCCTTCTCCTCAGGGCTGCTCTCAATCCAGTCTCTGCCCAGCCTATAGTTGTGCCTGGGATTGCCCTGACCCAGATGCAGGACCTTGCACTTGGCCTTGTTGAACTTCATGAGGTTTGCACTGTCCCACCTCTCCAGCCTGTCCAGGTCCCTCTGGATGACATCTCTTCCCTCCAGTGTGTCAACCACATCACACAGCTTGGTGTCTTTGGCAAACCTGCTGACGGTGCATCAATCCCACTCTCCATGTCATCAACAAAGATGTTGGTCCCAATACTGACCCCTGAGGAACACCACTCATCACCATTCTCCACTTGGGTATTCAGCTCTTTGTGCACAACTATCCAGCCAATTCCTCATCCATTGACTGTTCCATCCACCAGTTCCATACATCTCCAATTTAGAGACAAGGCTGTCAGGTGGGTCAGTGTCAAGCATAATAAACTACTGTATGTCACCCCTACTATAGTTGCTGTAGGCCATATCAATGGTATTACTGTAAAGATTTCCCAGATTAATGAGGAATGCATTTTGATGAAACTGGGCAAAGTGCAGCAATGATAGAACCCGAGAAGTGCTTCTGAACTGGCTTCAGAATGCAACAATCCACCGCCATCTCTCTGCTCTGAAGAACTACTATGACAGATGGAGCCCAAAGTCATGGATTAAATGAAACCAACATACATTATAGATGGATGGCCCACAGGCGGAGGGAATGATATCTGTGTGTATCAAAAGACAGGAGAGGATGTACTGGAAAATGTGGGACCCGTACATGATGTAAATGGTATGGGGTAAGGGGTAGGTATTGTCCTGGTTTCATCTGTGATAGAGTTAACTTTCTTCCTAGTACCTGGTACAGTACTGTGTTTGGATTTAGCAGGAGAATAATGTTAACCTCACAGTGAGCTTTATTTGTTGCTAAGCAGTGTTTACACAGCATCAAGGCCTTTTCTGCCTGCCACCCCACCCCACCATTGAGTAGGCTGGGGGTGCACAAGGAGGTCGAGGTGACACAGCCAAGACAGCTGACAGTAACTGATCAAAGGGATATTACGGGCCATATGGCATCATGCTTGTTGTATAAGCTAGGGGAAAGCTGGCCTGGGACCACGGCTCATGAACTGGCTGGGCCTCAGTCAGTGGGTGGTGAACAATTGCATCACTTGTTTTATGTATTTTAACTCATGACTAGGATGATGATCTCCCCTCCATTTCTGTCTATTAAACTGCCTGTATCTCAACCCACAAATTTTACTTTAATATTTTTACCATCTTCTCCTCAGTTCCACTAAGGGAGTGGGGAAGTGAGCAAGAAGCTGTTTGGTGTTCAGTTAC